GACCGGCCCTCGCGGCCGCTTCCCCTCCCCCTGCCTGGGGCAAGCGACGCTGGTGCTTCCTGCAGCAGCCCCTCCTCTCGCGCGTCCTTTCAGAACAGTGGGGGCCTGAGCGTGCTTTCCGCAACCTTTGTGATTCGACTCAGCAAGTCACAGACTATCAAATGCTACACCGTCCAGATCCAGCCCCTGTCCCCGCCCCATTGCAGGAAGAGGAAGCCAAGGTCCAGTGCGGTGGAAGTCACGACACTTCTCAGAGTCAGAACTAGAACTCAGTGCTCTGAACGGCTCTCACGGCCTGCCTTCTCGTTGTGGTTTCAGAGCACGGCAAAACCTTCTGCGTTGGCGCTTTGGTTAATAGGCCATTTGACCGTTACAAGAAAGAAGTTTGCGCTAGGAATTTACTTAGTCTTTTTGAACATCAAAACTGGTTAAACCATTTGTATTTAATTATATTGTGGGGGAAAATAATAAGACTGTAGTCTGGGGGGGGGGAGTGCTTTTAGATATTCTACAGCAGTAGAACATAGTTTTAAATTTGTTATACTGCTTATGTCTTTTATTAGACCTGGTATTCTCCAACAAATACCAGGACCTTTGCCTAATAGTACTCTGAAGTAAATTTAGGAACTGACGAAAAGCCCATTTCAGGACGGGAGAAACAAGCACAAAAACTCACTGAAGTCATGGGGTAATTATGGAGGTCCCATTATGAGCAGGGAGCAAGATTCTCCTAATAGCACCTTTATTAAGTTAGGATATTTGGGGAGAAGCTATCATATTTCAATGAGGTGCAGAAACAGTTACAGGAACTCTGTATGTTTTTGGTTGCCTGTAAATGCCTTTTGCCTTCAAAAACATGGCACCAGGAGTTAGAAACAGTAGACCAGAAGAGGCCTGGGGTCAAAGCAGAGAGAACAGAATATATGGACCTTGAAAACCACAGGATATGGCAAGGCTCCTGGACATGGGAAGCAGATTTCCAAGTGTCTTGCTTATTATATCAGCTGCACTGGAAGAGCTACGCCTCATGGTAGACCACTGCAGTGGCTATTGAGGGCGGCTGTTTTCCAGGTCTAAGGTCTTGAGGTGATATACTGAATGGTAAATTTGCCTGCTCTATATAGTAGTGGGGGAAAGAAAAATGATAAAGAGAAAAAATAACTTCTTAAAATTAGAAATAGAAATATGAAAGATAGTTACTCAATTATCAGATAGAAATCATTAGATGAGTGATTACATTCCCTAGAAGAAACGTTCTTCCCTTGAACCCTAAAGCCTCCACATAAGGATAATGAGTAGAGCAGCCTATCCCCAAACCAGTGTAACCTTGTGAGAGAAAAAGTCCATTTTTTATTCAAATATACACTTCATCAAAAAAAAATAGAACCGTGGGCCGGCCCGGTGGCACACTGGATAGTGCGCAGCTTGGGAAGCGCGGCGGCGCTCCCG